GTTTAAGTTGTTATTCAACGTTAGATGTATATATTTTTTTGTATTCTTTATTGAACTAAAACTAGAACTAACACTAGACCTAGAACTAAAATCATTCGGATTTAGCCGTCTTAAGAGACGTACGGCTAAAGCCAAATGTTTCTAGTTCTAGGTCTAGTGTTAGTTCTACCTTTAGTCCAATAAAAATATACAGCCATTTAACGCTGAATAACAGATAGAGTTAACACTAGTACTAGAACTAGTGTTAGTTATAATGGTAGATTATTGTGTATTTTTCATTGAACTAAAACTAGAACTAACACTAGACCTACAACTAGAAACCTTCGGGTTTAGCCGTGCGTCTCTTAAGACGGCTAAATCCGAATGATTCTAGTTCCAGTTCTAGTGTTAGTTCTAGTTTTAGTTCAATAAAAAATACAAAAAAAAATACATCTAACTGAAGACGCACAGCTAAACCCGAAACTTTCTAGTTCTAGGTCTAGTGTTAGTTCTAGTTTTATTTGATATTCAGTGCTGACATCACGAAACTTTCGAAGTGTTTAGCGTAAAAGTAAAACTAACACTAGACCTAGAACTAGAAACATTGGAATTTAGCCGTCTTAAGAGACGCACAGCTAAACCATAAGACCACCAGAACTAACTAATAAAGAAGAGACTTTTGGTTATAACGGACACTCCCTTCCCTGTATTAATTCGTGATATCGAGGTTTCACTGTATATATTAAGACTTGTTTTGACATCAAAGTAGTAATATTTAAATACAATATAACATTATAGTGCCATTAAAAGCATTCACTAATTGGCCATTAAGAAATTTTCAGTCAACAATTTCAACATCAACACAACAAAATGTTGTATGTATTGGATAAACATTAGTTCTCAGTTTCTAAGTTGCGGCGGACAACTTAAGAGTATAAAAAAATGATTGTATTTCGAAATGTCGATAACCTTTCGAAGCCGTGTAAGGTAGAAACGTTCTTATTCTGCAACCAATCAATGTCGCTGTTTAATGGGCGTTTTTCCTCCACGGTCCAATAGAAGTTAAGGCGAATTAAACCGGCACGCGAGAGACAAAAGCGATAAGTCACTTTCATGTGCTTTAGACTAGCTAAGGTTGGTTGTTGCACCATTGCATTACTCCGCAGTATAAGTGTAATCGGAAAACAATGACTTTGAAAGTATGCACCCAGGCTGTGTTGGGCCTCTTTCGCAGAAAAACCTCCTCGCGACTCTAATTAGAATGGAAACAGGATTTGCTCGATTAACGTTACTTGCACAACCGGTCGGTTGCTCGATGCAATCACCATCCACGATAACAGATGGCGTAAATCGGTTCTACTGTAGAGTTTAAAGACTGTTAAAATAATTCCATTGAAGAAACTTTAAGGATATTAAAAGAATTTGTTAAGAAATTTTTGTAATTCCTAGAACCAAGAAAAATCGTTACAAAAGACGTCCAATTAATAATCATACTGGAAGTATTGGGGGAAACATTAATGTAAATTAGTCAACAGGAGTACCTGCCCGGCATCCGTTTTATCGTTGGTTGGAAGGTTTTTGTACATAATAGTTTCGCCCTCTCTGTCTTACAAAATCCAACTGTCCTCGTGAGAACACAGGTAAAAGAAGAAAGAGGAGGAGAAGGGAAGCCCCACGTCGACAACCTACAAAAAGAACAGATGATTTCCTTCGAGACGGCAGGTGTTTCGCAGGTTACACCGTACACGAAAGCGACCAGTTATCCACCAGTGGCGTGGCTTAAATGGGACCGACAGACTCTCCGAAACTTTGTCGTTTTCAGAAAGCGGTTTTACTTGGGAATTATTTCTCGCATCCGGTCTTCGGTATTTTTCAAGTAGAAGCTTATTTTTTAATCGATAAAAAAACGAACTAAAAACATTCAGAGTTTATATAACACTAAACCTCCTGTATTATTAAAGATAACGGTAAGCGAAAACGTAGAAAGTTTTCCTAACAACTCAGAAACTTTTATGAAAATGTATCTATATTGCAGAGTTGTAATTTTGTTACTAAAGCAATTGCTGAGAGCATGGTAAAACTTCGGTAATTTACTATTTATTTTCTTGACTACTTCTTGACTTGAATTTAAGAAACCTTTCATACTTCTTATAATTAGCTAATAATATAACAAGAATTGCTTGATCAACAATTTGGCTTCATCTAAAATGAACGGTATTTTATTGCAGTAACAAATCTAATCCAATAACGGATTAACAGTTAAGACACTCCAACGTCCATGCAGCACATTGAAAAGTAGATGGCGAATTTAGTTATTAGATTAGATTTCTGATTTACCGTGTTGTATTGTATTGTAATTTTAGATTAAACTGGTTTTGATAAAGTTTAAAAATTCAAAGACAATCTTTTTTAATTTTGTAAAGTGATAAATGTGTGCGTTGAGTTCAAGTATTAATTTTTTCAAAATTAAAAGCTCAATCTAATTAACTGCAATATTCTGCACTCAATTTCCTTCCGAAATTTTTTAATTTTTATGGAACACAAACACATTGACAAAATTACTTAAACGCTTGTCATACATCGACACAAAATAAAATTGTTTATACCTATTGCACTCATGTAAAGTTGCTTTAAAATGCTTTGTTCTTAAAATAACAATTTTGAAAATTTGTCATTATCAATATAATCTCTTAATTATTAATATTATACAAAAATGTATTCTAAAACATTGTAACTTCTATATCTATAGGAATTACAAAACAATTTTTGGTTTATAGCATCTGGATTAAATTCGCTTTCAAATGCTTTTTATTTCGTCTTGATATCTCATTTAGAACTAAAGATATTATTTCGAATTATATTCGAATTTGTGATTAAAAAAATCGACAATTTAACTTGTATATTCATCAATATTATACAAACACGATTAAAAAAAATTTTAAAATGCAGATATTATATAAATAAACAATAATGTTTAGAGTATTAAGTTTGAATTAAATTTGTGCTTTAAAATATTGTTTATTTCATCACGATACCTCAATTAGTTCTAGAGATACGCTTTTTTAAAGTTCTACAATTTGACTTCTTTGTTTATTAATATACAAAAGTGATTTGAATTAATTGGGACACCAAGACATTGTACTATTAAACAACAATGTTTAATGTCTTAACGTTAGATTAAATTTGCTTTAAAATGGTGTTTATTTCGTCATGATATCTCAATTCGTTTTTATTTTAAAGTTCGACAAATTAAACTAGAAAATTATCACTTACAATGATGAATTCAAAAAATTGAGGATCAAGATTTTCTGGGATTGAACAATAATGTTCGTTAAGTTTGTGTTAAATTTGGATTAAAATAGTATTAATTATCTATAATCTTTAAAAATAAGTTAATAAAATTGTTTAATCTTTAAAATTATGAATATTATACAAAGATGAATTGAAATAACTTCGACGTCAAAATTCAGTAAAATTAAACAATAATTTTTGATATATTAAATCTGGATTAATATTGCTTTAAAATGTTTTTTAGTTCATCGTCATATCTCAATAAGTTCTTGAGATATCACCTTTTAAAGTTTGATAATATAACATCTAAACATATCAGTATTATGCAAAATGCATCGTTACTCAATGTTGATTTGAATTAAAAAGTGATTTTTAGTTTGCAAACTCTGGACGAAGTTTGCATTAAAATGCTTTTTATTTCATCATGATATCTCAATTTATTTCTGAGATACGACTTTATAGCATTGATGAGTCTGTAAGTTGTGGATTTTTGGCAACGTCAGAAATAATACACTGTTAGTGCCACATTCGGCTACACGATTTGACAAAGTCTTTAATTAGATGCTCTTTGTGTTCCTTCAAAATTTGTTCTGCTTTATTTCACATTATATTGATTAACTATATTGGAAATGGAAATATTAAATCTTTGCAAGTCACGGGAAATATTCTGGGCAACGACCAAATGAGCAGAATACTGTCAACAGTGTCAAAGGACAGAGTATTCTGAACAATGTTTAAGTAATTTATCTATCGTGATTCTTGTGCAGAGATAGATCTAGAAGAATTATTGAGTTGGCCGTTTAGACTCCGCCGTAATTGTAATTCCAATGTATTGTGCTGGAATTAAAATGAAGTTTGTTTGCAATTATGGAAAAATGTTCTGAATAAGGATGTTAACACTGAACAGAAACACTGAATAAGGAGCTCTATAAGATCTGCCTATAGTGTTCTTGTAGAATCTATAACATCATATTAATGTTTGTGCAAATTTGAACATTAAGCTAGTTTCAAAAAAAAAATATTTTTTTAACACGTTGACTGCCGTGTATATCAAAACTGATATACACCTGTAGGGTCTAGTACGGTGCGTGATATACTCGCGGCAGTCAACGTGTTAAATTAACAACTTATTTGAAAATCTTATATCATCAAATTACTTGTTATTTTTTTTGTTTTGATGAAGTCAATATCACATTTTATGTAACAGCTAAAAGATATACTGCAATAATTGCAATTATGGACCATCAGTATAGTAGTCCATCATGATTTCATGGATTAACTTTAAATGTTAATCCACTTGTCCCCCCTTTGAGTCACTTTAAGCAATTAAAGATATAATAAAATTTTAAGATACATTAAAAATGTTAATTCTGCAAATTTACAACATTTTGGCTAATCTATAGATGTTGCAATTTTTTTTTTGTAAGAATAAAATTGTATTTAATTGAGTGAGTCATAAAATTATAGTAATAAAATTCGCTAATCAACAAAATTTTTCCTACTCACGACTTGTTGATCATCAAATTTTACCCGTTTGGTTCCATGTGTGAACTGATTAGGTTGTTTTATAGACACAGGAAAATGAGTTACGTCGGTAAATCCATGGTATAAAAAAATAATTAAACTCGTTTACACTTAATTCAACAAGTTTGTAACACATCAATCACAAGAACGCGTTCGTTTAAAATCACCATCACTCTCTACTTATAAACTCTTTTAATAAAACGGACCTAAAGCGAATCCATCCTTGGTCCATTGCACTTGGCCTGCCAAATTCGCGACTTCACATTCCATCGTTATTTCACCACCTTCGTGCACCTTGACGTCTCTCGGTTGCACCCTGAAGTATTGCTGTTGTGCTGAGCACGTCGACAGGATACAGCAAAGTAAAAGGATTAAAGGGGATGTTATAGTTGCCATTTTTCTTCTAATTCCGAACTCTGAAACAATATAAAGATATTGTAAGTAAATAGAATTGAATTTGGGATGATTTAAAAGAAGTGGTAAAGAAACAAACCTTCATGAAACGTTAAATAAAATTGTGTTTCAGTTTAAAAGAAATATCCTAAGTGTCATTTCACACAAAACAAGATAATTTTATTAAATAATTAAAGGGGTTGCGATTGTTCGTTATGTTCGCGAGGGTAAAATGTTACCGCGACCGTTTCTTTAGACGAGGACTTCGCGGAGCTCGCTGCTACACTACTAAATCATCAATGAAGAAAACCCAGAGGAACCGATGGAGGGGATAGCGTGTGTAGAGTGAGTGCCCCTGCTGCTGCTGCTGCTTGGGTTTACTGCAAGAAGTTAACCTTCTCCTCTTCGACGCCTTGTAGGGGATATGATTTTAATATAAACGCCTTGGTAGTGGAATTAAACTTTTCTTTTTGAACGATGACCCAAGTTTTTCACCAAAATAAAGAACACTACTAAGAACATAGTGAACTCACTATTTTTAATTAGATAATCAAAAAAACCAATACTTGAATATGTAATGATACAACACATGTATTTATATTTATATGTATATCGCTATTAATAATGCAAAGCTGTATTTTCTCTTTTAGTTTTTCGTTGTACGAGGAAAGTCATCAAAGAATAATTTGATCTTGTTCTATACAGGAAGGTTTGTAAGCCGCATACGCCACACCCTCAACTTCTTTAAAATTAAGCAGAAGCTCCTATTTAGCAAAGTAAAAAGAACCATTACGATGACGTCCCTGGAGTTTTAATAAAGAATTTAAACACTTCCTAGCCGGCAGCGAACAGGTTATTAAAAAATTCGTGCGTCCGCTTCGTCTTTAATTTCTTTTTAAATTTTTTTTTTTGAATAACGCTCTAGGAAAGTTTTGTCAAAGTTAAAAATTCCTTCTGTCTAGATTTTGTAGTAAAAAGTTATTTTAATGAAGGAATATGATACACGGTATAAATTATCAAAGAAAAATATAAGTAGCTGTCTTCAAGTTTTAATCCTATATAAGTCAACAATTAGTGGGTTTACCGCAAACATTTATCTTTATTGTAATATGATAAATGCGTTTACCTAATTGGATTACGTGTTTGTAAAATAGGTGAATATTAATTATGGCATAATAGTAATTCTGAGGCATTTACGGGCTTGATTTGTGACAGTAGCAGGTTAAAAATTACAAATACATATAATCAGGCAATTTATATGTAGGATAGAATTAGGGGAACGAATTACATAGCAGTAATCGATTGAAATGTGGACAATACGATGATTTAAATAAACTGAAACGGTTCGCGTCAACAATCTACTTGACAATCAGCACACACTAAAATGTATTGAAATTTATGGTTCGCGCCGCCGGTTCAGATCGAACATATGTTAATTTATTCGAACTATTGGACGAAATAAAATAAAATCCATTTTAATTAACGAGCGCAGTCCCGGGTGCGATAAATCAGAGCGGTTTTAATCTGAAATTGTTTATCTCGCATTGATAGCTGTGCTTTCAGAGCGGTTTTTGCACATTTTAAATACGTGTTCAGGCGGTTTCGTAATTGTTCAACGTCCTAATGGACTCGGAACACCGCAAAATAATACATTTCCACCGGTCAATGCCAGCGTTGACGTAGCAGATATTCGAAAACAAAAACGTTCCCTGGTGAGGGTTGCCAAAACATGTTTAAAATCCCATAATGTTGATTATATTACGTTGCTGATAGGTTTCCACTTTTTCGCTTTAATTCAATTCACATGTACGATTTACATTAAATATGTCTGAAATTTGAAATTTACGAATTTATAGTCAGGTTATCCCATTATCTATTAACGAATGCATTAAATCGAAAAAGAGTAGTACTGAACAAAATGCTCCACATTTCACTTTGTTTCAATTTATTAATTTTAATTCAATATTTATGGTGGATAGTTACATCATTGCGTTTATATCCATTTTATAGTCAAAAATTATATAAACGATTTCCGCATGATCAATCGATGTCCTATGTTCTGAAGATATTCCTGTGTATCATTCACACTCATATACATGCAAAATGTGAGGGTCCGATTGGCTTCAGAAGAGGAGCAAATACGCGCTAGGGTCAATATAGTCACACAAAGGTGCCAGAACATGAATGTTGTTATATACACCTGCTTTATTGATTATTAGAAAGGTTTAACCAGCATTTATGCATTTATTAGAGCGACCTGCAACTCGGATGCGATATTCCAGGAAACATTAGTGAAAGTTGAAGGAGCAATTAAGTTCAATGGAACCCCCACAAACAAAACACGTTTTGCCAATGACACTTTTTGTTGATCGCCAGTATATCTCATCTCCAAAACATGGTAAACCTCATCGTCACGCACAGTACACAATACGGCTTATGTATGAATGCTGCCAAGACTAAGATGATCGTGTTCTCAAAGTTATTGAAAAAGGCAAATCTGCGAATTAACTGTAAGAAAATAGAACAGGTATCGTCCGTGAAATATTTTGGAGACCTTTGGAATGAAATAAGTGATTCCAAACAAGAAATCTTGTCACGACTATACCAAGTCAGAAGGACGTTTATCTCTATGAAGAGGTATCTCTATGAAGAGCTGCGTTGTTATGTATTTCAGACATAACGTATATTTCAGACAGATTTCAATCGATATAATCATGGTAAAAACTTCATGCAGAGATCATATAGACTTTATACGGAGTTGTCATTATGCTGACTTCATAGATATTTTATACTGAGGTTTCTTGATGTAGATTTGATAGAGAACTCATGTAGGCCCGAAATTGCAAGACTATGCAATTTTGATGCGTGCGATATTGATGCAAACCTGATAAAGAAATGATATAGTCTTAACGCAAAAGTCTTGATGAAGGATTGCCAGGATGATTGGAACTTGTTATTGTAGATTTTATGAAGTCATACGGCATCTCTCTAGTTTGGATAGATATCATCATAATGGAGATTTGATGAGAACTTTATGCAGATCTATCTACTGTATGAGTATGTAGTGTAATGTTGAAGAATTGTAATATTTAGAAATTAATTTTCCTAGAAAATGTTCTTGTTGTAGTTAATATTGAAATGCTAAAAAATTCCGTATTGGTTAAATTAGACAAATTGTTCCTTGTAAAAAGCTGAACATGCCGATTTTCTTAGTTAATATTGCAGATACTTAATTAATATTTAGTTAAATTTAATTAACAAATTTATTTTTATTAGAACACATTTTTTAGAAGTTGAGCGAGAATTATAGAAGAGCGAAAAAACGGAGAGGTAACGTCCAAACTGAAGAGTTAATAAGAGCCAACAAAAACATACTGAAAACATGAACTTCTACGCAGCTAGTTTAAAAAATATTTTGTAATTTATACATAACTAATTTTGATGACATGTCTGCTGACCACTTGTGGAATGTTAAGGGTTAAAACAGTGTTTCTACCATTGCAAACGTAAATGCATTCAATTTAAATGCACTGAATTTGTTATCCGTTTAATAAGGCCAATCATTAAAACAATCAGAAATATAACTGCGATTAGTTCATGAGTAATAGAATGTGCAATAAAACACTATTTTGTTGAAACTCTGAAGAGTAGAATAAAAGAGCAGTTTGAATCACAAATTTTTATACATGCGGATGTACAAAAACGAATATGTTACGTACTTTACATACTAAAAAATCACAAAGCACTCATCTTATTGTTAGTATCGTCAAAGTATCACAAGCCAGCAACAGGCGTTTATGGTAAACCTGGGATAATAGAATACTACAACAATACTAAGGGTAGAGTTGACCCTCTTGATGAAAAATGCTCAATATATATCGTAGCGCCACGAACCCAGATAGCCGATGGCATGCATTTATAAAATGCGGACATATCAACAGTTAATCCATTTGTGACGTATATTGTTGTATAATTTAGATCGAATTATACTTAAATTCGGTCGAATTAGTTTGCCTGTACAGCTTAAGTCTCCGAGACTTAACATCAACCTAAGTGTAAAAATGCTTATGGCTAGGGATTAATTACAATTCTAGATAAATAAAGACTAACTCAGACTTATAGTTTAAATTTAGGTTTTTTTAGAATTAACCTAGTTCGAACCTAGTTTTGATCGTATCCCCCATACTAAAACTTCTTTACTCGTGCAAAAACAGCAACAAATTTTTACCCTCGATTTTCCACCTACTCTACAAGCCGATGTCTTCGTTGTCTTTAGAGATGGCGGAATATTAAATACACCACTAGAAAGCCTGATCTTTTCTTCATCTAAAACCGGATATTGCCCTGTCAACAACATGAAATTTTCAGCGGAAAAAAATAAAGAACGTCCCCGTGTAGCGTATATACCTCGAAATGATCATACTTCAAGTTCGTGTGACGCCGTTATGGAACCGAATTAAAAAAAAGCTTCATCAATTTGAAAAGAACACACTTTGGGCTATTTTAATCCGGGTCAATATCTATCGGCGTCGGCCAAAAAAACAAGTCTATTAAACAACCCTACAAATAGACGTTTCTTAATACAACTCTTTTATTTGCAGGAACGAAAAACTAAAGCAGTTTCAATCATATACGAAATTTTCTGCTTTATGCAGAGTTATATAACTTTAGTAGATCGCATGGTTGCGTAAGCATGATGTTAATGATGCTGAAACCATTTACATACGGCAATTATGCGCGGTTTTTGCAGTTTTTGGGGGAAAAGTGCTTGTGCAATCATGCGATCTACTAATGTTACATATCACTGCATAACGCTGAACATTTTCTCTAGATTTTATATAATTTAGGAGCTTTGTTCATATCATATAAGAAAGTTATTATCTCGAAAGTGATTTAATGCGGTCCAAAAACGCGTCGATAAGGCTGTTTTTACAAACAGAAAAAGTTTTAAAACCTCGTATTCATTTTTTGTTAGGCACCGATGGCAAGAGCAGAAAATTTGCTATATGACTGATACTGCTTT